TATGGGGAAGATGAAATAGAACAGGTGAGTTGGCTAGACAACATTTGAAAGTAGCACAGCATGTGTCGAAACAGGAAGCAAATAAAAAATTAAAAATTTGTAATTTTGCGAGGGGAGACAAAGTGTTAGTGTTACTTCCAGTGGTAAGTGAACTTTTAAAGGCAAGGTTTAGTGGGCCTTACCAAGTCAAAAGGAAATTGAGTGAAGTGAATTATTTGATAAGAATGCCAAATAGAAGTAAATCTCTGTCTCATGTGAATATGCTCAAAAGGTATTTTGATGGAGAAGGAAAACAAAAGGATTTGATTTATTATTGTCACATGTACAAAGGTACAGTGAAAACTTTTGTTTTGTGTGCAGTACAGGCAGATCATGCCACACTGTGCATAGGGTAATGTCTTCTTAACCACCCTACCTATATGTGATGCAAACTTCAAATAATTATGTTCCTGAACCCCTTGGTCTCTTTGTTCAACAGCATTACGCAAGGCCTTACTTTAATTGTATAAGTCCTGCCCTTGTTTGTTTTACCAAAATGAAATACCTCACATTTATCCAAATTAAACTCCACCTGCAACTCTTCAGCGCATTGACACAATTGTCCTCATTGTATTCTTAGATAACCTGTCCACTGTGCCACCAATTTTGATGTCGTCTGCAAACTTACTAACCATGCCTTCTATATTCTCATCCAAATCATTTAAACAAATTACAAACAAAAGGGGGCCCAGCACCAATCCCTGTGGAACACTGCTCCTCACAGGCCTCCAGTCCAAAAAACAATCCTCCAACGTCACTCTGTCTCCTGCCGTTTAGCCAATTTCAGGATAACTTTGATCACTCTCACTCTATCTTCCACCAGGTGTAACCCAGTCTGGTCGACTCTGTAGCCCAGGTAGGTCACTTAGGGTGCCTGGAACACACGTTTTCCCCTTCTAAGGTGTATGCCTGCCTTGGAGAAACTTTTAAGCACTATCTCCAAGCTCTCTAAGTGCTCTTTATTGGTTTTTAGTATGCCATCAGGTAAATGGCAACCTGGGGTGGCCCTTGTAAAATATTTTCCATCGTCTTCTGAAAAATGGCAAAGGCTGATGATGCCCCATTGGCGGTCTTGTATATTGGTACAAACCCTTATGGGTATTAATTGTAACATACTTCCGGGAATTCTCATCTAACCACAACTGCAAGTACGTATGGCTTATGTCCAGCTTTGTGGGACAGCACCCCTTCCAGTTTGGAATATAAATCCTTTATGTGAGGAACAAAGCAAAGTTGCTGGAAAAGCTCAGCAGGTCTGGCAGCATCTGTGAAGGGAAAAACAGAGTTAACGTTTTGGGTTCAGTGACCCTTCCTCAGAACTGATGGTGGCTGGGAAAACGATGGTTCATATGCAGAAAATAGGGAAATGGGTGGACTTGGGAGTAAATGATAGGATAGAGCCTTAAGACAGAGAAGGTCAGTTGGACAGACAAAGGAGTTGCTAATGATCAGGCTGGGAGGGTGAATAGTTGTTAATGGGAACTGTTAGTGACTAACAACAGGTGAGTGATGGCAGGCTATGTGGTAACAAGACCTGGTATGTGGGGTGGGGGCTGGGACATGGGAGAGTTTAGGCCCTAAAATTATTGAACTCAATATTGAGTCCAGAGGGCTGCAGGGTCCCCAAGCGGAAAATGAGGTGTTATTCTTCCAGCTTGCGTTGGGCTTCACTGGAACACAGTAGCAAGCCAGAGACAGAGATGTTGGCCAGGGAACAGGGTGGTGCATTGAAGTGGCAGGCAACAGGTAGTTCAGGGTCTTTTTGCGAGCAGAACGTAGATGTTCTGCAAAGCGGTCGCCAAGTCTACACTTCGTTTCCCCAGTGTACAGGAGACCACATTGTGAGCAGCGAATGCAGTAGACTAGATTCTGGGAAGTGCAGATGAAGTGTTGCTTCACCTGGAAGGTATGTTTGGGCCCTTGGATACTGGGGAGGGAGGAGGTAAATGGACAGGTGTTGAACCTTCACCGGTTACAGGGGAAGGTGCCGTAGGGCTGTGGAGAGGTGTTGGGGGTGAAGGAAGTGTGGATCAGGGTGGCCTGGAGGGAACGGTCCCTGTGGAAGGTGGACAAGGGAAGGGAGGGGAATATGTGGCTGGTGGTGGCATCTTGTTGGAGGTGGCGGAAATGGCATCTGATGATCTTCTGGATGTGGATGCTGGAGGGATGGTAGGTGAGGATAAGGGGAACCCTATCGCTGTTGTGGGAGGGAAAAGAAGGGGTGAGGGTGGAAGTGTGGGAGATGGGTCGGACCTGGGTTGAAAGCCCTGTCGACAACGGAGCTGGGGAATCCTCAGTTGAGGAAGAAGATGGACATTTCAGAGGCTCCCTTTTCGAAGTTGGCCTCATCTGAACATATACAACAGAGACGGAGAATGGGATGGAGTCTTTACAGGAAGTGGGGTGTGAGGATGTATAGTCCAGGTAGCAGTGGGACTCTGTGGGTTTGTGGTGGATATTAGTGGCCAGTCTATCCACAGAAATGCCGAGGAAGGGAAGGGAGGAGTCTCTCCTTTATGCGAGGGATTAGGTATTTATCCAGCTACAAAAAGCGGTTTGTTTGAAATCCCCACAAAGATAAACTGACCCGTTGGGCTTCACAATTGCTACGACCGGTGCTGCCCGTTCCACAAACTGTACTGGTTTGATGATTCCTTTGCTTTCTAGCTTCCTGATTTCTGCCTCTACTTTTGCATGTAAGGCCAATGGCACTGGGCAAGCCCTGCAGAATCATCCATTTGCTTCCTGGCCAAAATGCAAGGTAGCCTCGGTCCCTTTGATAGCTCCTAGACCTCCCTGAAATACTTCCAGGTATTTCATTAGGATTTCAATCAAGCAGCCATTTTTTAATTGAAAAATGTTGGGCCAATCTAGATGAATCTTTTTCAACCAATTTCACTCCATCAGGTTTGGGCCCGAGTCTTTTACTACAAGCAGTGGTAACTGAACAAACTGCTTCTCATATGAGACCAGAATTGAGGTTGTTCTCTTAATCTGTAAAGGTTCCCCTGAATAGGTTCTCAGTCTGACCGAGATCTTATACAAACTTAAGGTTTGGAGTCCAGAGCGAACTTCGTTAAAGAGTGGTTCCGCAATCACAAATACAGCCACGCCGATATCAACCTCCATTCGAACCGGGTGACCATTTAACCACACATTTATCTTTGGTTCTGATTTGGGTGTTGCTAACCAATTTAACTGTTCCAATCCAGATGTAGGTGAGCTTTGCAGGGCTTGGACTTTCCTGGACTCTGGCCTATGAGTTCTCTTACTCAATTCAGGCCTAGAGGGAATCTTTTTCTGTCTTGTGTTAGCATACCAGCAGCAACTACAACAGCTTGTCAGCCCGGATCCTGAAGAAAATGTTAACCGTTTGCCTTGGCTTTGTTTTGGGGTTTTGCAGTGGGCTGACCTAGAGTCCCTCTGTTCAGGATATGTTCTGACTGAGGCTGTGCAATTGCCTTCACTCAAATGGTGTTCCTCAAGCTCAGTCAGACTGGGGAGGGTGCCCCGTTCCTTCAGCATAACCTGTAACTCATATGCCCCACATGTCACATTTTCTAATGATGAAGACAATTGTAGTGTCTGTTTGAAGTCCAGTTGGGCTTCAGCTAGTAGACACTTTTGCATGGTTACATCATTAATCCCACATACCAAACGGTCTGTCAGCATCTCATTAAGGGTTAAACCAAATTTACATGCCTCTGCCAGTCGTCTTAACCTCATCAAAAATCCCAACACAAATTCCCCTGGTTCTTGAATTGCCAAGTAAAGCCGATAACGTCTTAGAACTGGAGGAGGCTTGGGGTCATAATATTCCTTAACTAAATCTGTCAACTCTTGAAAGGTTTTAGTATCTGGTGCCTCAGGAAAGATTAGGTTCCTAATAACCGAGTAAGCTGCAGGTGCACAAGCTGTCAGGAGAATTACTTATTGCTTTTTATTCACCCCCATGTCATTTGCCCAGGGAAAACAATGTATTTTTTACTCATACTGGTCCCGGTCTTCGATGGCAGGACAGACGAGTCAAGTTTCCTAAATAATAGCATGATGCCAGAAATGTTTACTCCAATTCAAAGACAATTGTTGTAAGCAAATTTCTTCAGGAGAGTACTTTTTTCTCTTGTTGCCACTGAAATAACTCCAGTGAGACTGGTATCCTGTCACCAAGTCACCCTTTATTTACATGTGCATGGTATTTGACCCTGGTCTGGTTTCCTCAGAGACAGCTCCCGGAGTGAGCAGAGCCTCTGACATTCATGTTTATATCTGTCAGCCAGGGCTCCCTGATTGGGGCTGTTAATCTGGTCCAATCAGGGAGCTCATGTTCTGTGAGGTCTACCTGGCTGACCCTATTTCAATCACTATAAGGGCATTGCATGATTTTTGTTTTGAATAGAAATTGTATGCAGATTTGGAGAAAGACAGGAGATTTAGGCTGGGTAACAGAACCAGTGCAGGCATGATGGGCTGAAAGGCCACTTTTTGCCTCAATTCTGGAGCATATTTGAGATTCCAAAAAATTAGCTGGAATCTGAGGAAGGGAATAGAGCGCAATATTGAAAGAGTATGGTGAGGAAGGATGGGAATGGACCCAAGGGAAACGTTAATGCCAGCATAACTTATTCCAAAAGTGTGTATTTATGCAAACCTCCTTAAAATCTGAATCAGCAAAAGCCAATCAGAAAGAACCCAGCAGAACATCTTGTAGGTTTAACATCTGTCACGGTGGCAGCTGTTGGGGGGGGTGGGTGGCGCGGTTCAGGGGTGCTGCTAAAAGCATATACCTTTTAAATTCTATTCTTTATTTTTTTTGGTTTCAGATTATAAATGCTCGTTGTTTTCCTGCCAAACAATTGGATTGGAATGGTCAGCACAGCCTGTGATCACCAAAGCAACCTCAAAATCCTGGCAGACGTCCAGCCAGGTGTATAATTATTGCAGCATGTACAGAGTCTCACTTCAGTAGCTGCAGGAGCTCAGGTAGTGGGCCTGTCAGCCTGTCAAGGAGCCAGACGTGATATTGGGACCAAACAGACGGGGGCTCCTCACAGTTGGCCGTCAGCCACATCGTAATACTCTGCACAGAAAAAAAACAGCCACTAGTGAAATCAAAAGGTGTTGAATAAGCCTAATTGGAAAATGCACTGCAATGTTTATGTCCCATTTCCTCGGAGATTTACAATGACATAATTCTATAGTGTCTTTAAAATAGTGCAGCATCTTAATGCACTTCACAGGAATATTAACAGAAGAAACTTGACATCAAGCCCAAAAAAAAAGCACATATTAAAGAAAGAAAGTAAAATTTGCATTCTTTATAGCACCTGTCATGAGCACCAAATAGATCAAAGAGCTTTGCAGCTGGCATTGTACTCTTTGAAGAGTAGTCAGTGTTGCAAAATAGAAGGAGATAGTGATGCAGTGGGTATGTCACTAGACCTGTATTGTTAAAATCAAAGTTAATGTTTGGGGACATGGATTCAATTCCCACCCTGCCCACTGATGGAAATCAGAATTGAATTTTAAACAAACAGGCTAAATGATGACTGTCAAATTATTACCATAAACCCAACTGGTTCACCAATATCCTTTAGGGAAATCTACCACCAGCTCTGGCTAAAGATATCTCCAGACCCACAGCAATGTGTTTGGCTTGTGATCTCCCAGGCATTTAGGGATGAGTGATAGGTGGTGTGGTGGACGGCCAATAAAATTATCTTAGAGTACAATGGGACCTTGATCAAATGGGCTAATGGGTTGAAGAGTGACAGATGGAGTTTAATTTAGGTAAATGTGAAGTGTTGCATTTTGATAAGACAAACCAGAGCACGACTTATACAGTTAATGGTAGGGCCCTAGGGAGTGTTGCTAAACAAAGAGACCTTGGAGTGCAGGTACATAGCTCCTTGAAAGTGGAGTCACAGGCAGACAGGGTGGTGAAGAAGGCATTTGGCATGTTTACTTTCATTGGTCAGTGCATTGAGTATAGGAGTTGGGAGGTCATGTTGTGGCTGTATAGGACATTGGTTAGGCCAGTTTTGCAATACTGTGTTCAATTCTGGTCACCCCACAGGAAGAATGTTGTTAAAGTTGAGAGGGTGCAGAAAAGACTTACAAGGGTATTACTAGGACTGGATAGTTTGAGTTGTTGGGAGAGGCTGAATAGGCTGGAGCTATTCTCCCTGGAGCGTCGGAGACTGAGGTGTTTATAAAATCACGAGGAGCATGGATAGGGTGAATAACCAAGGTGTTTTTCCTAGCGTGGGGGAGTCCAAACCAGAAGACATAGGTTTAAGTTGAGAGGGGAAAGATTTAAAGAGGATCTGAGGGGTAGCTTTTTCCACAGAGAGGGTGGTGCGTGTATGGAATGAGCTGTCAGAGGAAGTGGTGGAGGCTGGTACAATTACAACATTGAAGAGACGTCTGGATGGGTATATGAATAGGAAGGCTTTAGAGGGATGTGGGCTGGCAAATGGGACTAGGTCAGATTGGGATGTCTGGTTGGGGCAATGAGATGGACTGAAGGGTCTGTTTCAGTGCTATATGACTCAATGACTTGTTGAATGAATTAAAAATGTTGGAAAAGTGGTAGCAAATTTGCACTGACCTATGTCTATCATACATCACATGTCTAAGCTGCGGGTATCTAGTTCTCATGTTTCCAGTCAGAGCAGACCTTTATTCTGTTATTAATACTTATACCTATAATGTCTAATCTCCTCATTTTTTTCTTAACAGTGTAAAACGCATTTGTTTTTCACCTCTCCCTTCCGTTCTGAGGGAGAATCTTTTTGACTCAAAACATTAACTCAGTCTCTCTTTCCATAAATCCTGCCAGACCTGCTGCGTTTCTTTAGTGCTTTCTGTTTCATTTCAGATTTCCTGCATCTGCAATATTTTGCTTTTGTTTCCCGTGACTTGCTTGATTTTGTACCTTGTGTCTTGATGAACTAATGTGTAGTTTCCCACTTTCTGCCTCCCTTTCTTTTTGAATAAACGGAGTTACATTCCTCCTACCACCTTCCAATCTGATGAGACTGTTCCTAAATCAAGGGAGGTTTGGACTCCTGGAGTCATAGAGCCATACAGCACAGAAACAGACCCTTTGGTCCAACTGGTCCATGCCGACATGATATCCTAAATTAACCTAGTCTCATTTGCCAGCATTTGTCCTATATCCCTCTAAACCCTTCCTATTCATATACCCATCCAGAAGCCTTTTAAATGTTACAATTGTCCCAGCCTCCATGACTTCCTCTGGCAGTTCTTTCCATCCTCTTCCTGAAAAAGTTGCCCTTTAGGACCCTTTTAAATCTTTCCCCTCTCACCTTAACCTATGTCCTCTAGTTTTGGACCTCCCTACCTGCGGAAATGATCTTGTCTATTTACCCTATCCATACCCCTCATGATTTTATAAACCTCTATAAGGTCAGCCCTCAGTTTCCAACGCTCCAGGAAAAGCCTGCCCCTATAGCTCAAACCCTCCAACCCTGGAAACATCCTTGTAAATCATTCTAGAGCCCTTTCAAATTTCACAACATCCTTCCTATAACAGGGAAATCAGAACTGTAAGCAGTATTCCAAAAGTGATCTAACCAATGTCCTGTACAGCTGCAACATGGCCTCCCAACACCTATATTCAATGAACTGACCAATAAAGGCAAGCATACCAAACGCCTTCTTCACTATCCTATCTACCTGCGACTCCACTTTCAAGGAACTATGAACCTGCACTCCAAGGTCTCTTTGCTCAGCAACACTTCCCAGGACCTTACCATTAAGTGTATAAGTCCTGCCCTGATTTGCCTTTCCTCAAATGCAGCACCTCACATTTATCTAAATTAAATTCCATCTGCCAGTCCTCAGCCATCAGCCCATCTGATCAAGGTCCCATTGTACTCTGAGGTAACCATCTTGGCTGTCCACTACACTTCCACTTTTGGTGCCATCAGCAAATGTTCTAACCATACCTCCTATGTTGACAGCCAAATCATTTCTATAATTGATAAAAAAGCAGTGGACCCAGCCCTGATTCTTGTGGCACACCACTGGTCACAGGCCTCCAGTCTGAAAAGCAACCCTCCACCACCACCTTCTGTCTTCTACCTTTGAACCAGTTCTGTATCCAAATGGTTATTTCTCCCTGTATTTCATGTGATCTGACCTTGCTAACCAGTCCACCATGAGGAAGCTTGTCGACTGCCTTACTGAAGTCCATATAGATCATGTCCACCACTCTGCTTTTATAAATCCTCTTTGTTATTTCTACAAAAACTCAATCAAGTTAGTGAGACATGATTTCCCATGCACAAAGCCATGTTGACTATCCCTAATCAGTTCTTTCCTTTCCAAATACATGTAAACACTGTCCCATAGGATTCCCTTCAACAACTTGCCCACCACCAATGTCAGGCTCTATAGTTCCTTGGCTTTTCCCTACCATTTTTCTTAAATAGTGGCACAACATTAGCCTATCTCCAGTCTTCTGGCACCTCACCTGTGGCTATCAATGATACAAATATCTCAGCAAGAGGCCCAGCAATCTCTCCCCTAGATTTCCACAGAGTTCTAGGGTACACCTGATCACATCCCAGGGATTTATGTGTTTTAAGATGTCCAGCACCATCTTCTCTGTAATAGGGACATTTTTCAAGATGTTGCAATTTATTTCCCCACTTTCTGTATCTTCCATATCCTTAAACATTGTAAACACTGATGCAAAATACTTAAACTAAAAATAATGCATCAAGTTTCTCACTAGCCACTTCTTTAAAACCGTTAAATATGAGAAAGGTTTCAAAGGGATTTGAGGGGCATCTTTTTCACACAGAGGATGGTTCATGTGTGGAATGAACTGCCAGAGGAAGTGATAGATGCAGATACAGTTACAAGTTTTAAAAGACAATTATATGAATAGGAAAGGTTTAGAGGGATATGGGTCAAACACATGCAAATTGACTGAGCTGAGTCTAGGAAACTTGGTCAGCATGAAAGAGTTGGACCGAAGGGTCTGTTTCTGTATATGACTCTAATGATCTATTAGCCCACAGCTCCTCCAATTTACTTAGTACTACTTCTCTTGCAATTGTGAATTTCCTGTGTTCCTCCCTCCCTCCCTCCATTCCATTCCCTGATCCATTGCAATTTCTGAGGTGTTGCTAACAGCCTCTATGGTGATATCTCTTTCCCTTTGCAGGATGAGGCCAGACCAGGTAAGGATGACACTTTGTATCCCTAAAGAACATTAGTGAACTGGATGGGTTTTTTTCTGAAAAGCAACAATGGATTCATAGTGATCAATGGAGTCTTAATTCCAAATTTTTCATTGAATTGAATTGAAATGCATCTGTCATGATGGGATTCAAACCTGGATCCCCAGGACATTACCTGGGTTTCTGGATTATCAGTAGACCAATAATACCACTAGGCTATCATCTCTCCCTAGTTAAGACTGAAGCAAAATATCTTTTCAATTCATTTTTTTTCACAGGACGTGAGCATTTGTGGTTAGCATGTGTTGCACATGCCTGATTGCCCTTGAACTGAATAACTTGCTAGGCTATTTCAGGGAGCAGTTAAGAATCCACAACATTTCCATTCAGCTGGCATAAGGTGTAGGCCATTCCAGGTTAGGGTGGCAGACTTCCTTTGCTGATGGACATCGGTAAATAGATGGGTTTTTAAAACAATTGATAATGATTACACACTTGCCATTAGACTAGATTGCATAGAATTCAAACCTCACCGTATGCCTTGGTGGGTTTTGAGCCCATATCCTGAGGATATTAGCTCTAGATGACTAGTACATTGACATAACTGCTACACTAACACCCCCTAACTTAAATTTACAGGAGATGGTCCTTTAACAGTGAGCCTTAGGAAGATTACTTTGCACAGCAAGACTTGGGTGTTACTCGACAGGATCATAAACACATTCATATTGCGGCAGCTTACCTGATGCTGGACGTACATCAGCCCCAACTGTCCCTGTGGCACTTGGTGGTGGGGGCGGAGGTACAGCTTTACTAGGAGAAAATCCAACAGTTTCTGGTTAATCACAAGCACCTCATTAGAGTTTGCCAACTGTGGGCTACTGGCATTTTATTCAACGCCAAGTTTATCACTTCTAACTTATTGACTCATCAGAAGATTTACCTGTGCTATCTCACCAAACATTCCCATGTCAGCCAACTCTGACCCACAGTTACACTGCCAGCTCTACCACTGCAATCTCGTTGGGTCATTGGCAGGTTTACCAGCACTATATTGGTGGGGGTGGGGGGGAGGGGTGGGGACAGGGGTGGGGACATGCAGTAAAGCACATGGAAGGACAGTTCACTCCAGTGTACAATACAGAGAGGACAGATGTTTACTGAGGATTCAGAATTTGCTCTGGGGATGTAAAATGGGGAAGTCCACTGTTCAATTATTGGTTTCTTCGGTGTTATCTATGAGTTGAAATTAAAATATTTTATATTTCTGGACAAATTTTTTGTTTGTATGGTGCAATGGTGTAGCTTATATATACTTGCACGTGAAAACTGTACAATTGATGATAGGAGGAAGTTAAGGCGATATTTCATACACCACCAGGAAGATTTCTGCTGGTTTTCTCCCATTGTGCCACTCAAAGAGGAACGAATTCTCCTGATGTCCCTAAAATTCAGATCGTTTTGTTAATCGTCCCAACTGTGTCTCGTGGGACTTTGATGTTGAATTGTGTTTGACGATGGAATAGGATCCTTACAGTAGCGCAGCTTTCAGCTCACACTCCCACTGGGCACACTCCCGCTGGGCACACTTCCACTGGACACACTCCCGCTGGGTACACTCCCACTGGGTACACTCCCACTGGGTACACTCCTGCCGGGTACACTCCTGCCGGGTACACTCCTGCTGGGCACACTCCCACTGGATACACTCCCACTGGGCACACTCCCACTGGACACACTCCCGCTGGGTACATTCTCACTGGGCACACTCCCACTGGGTACACTCCCACTGGGCACACTCCCA